TGATGGGAGAAAAACAAAAACAAAACAATTGTCGCCCCGGTGGTCTAAATGGTATATCCTCGAAACCTTCTAGATAGAGGTCAGGTCACGGGTTCGAATCCCGGCGGAAGCGAGCGTTTCTTGCAAAGAAAGTGAGTTTTTTAGTTTTTTTTCTCTCTCTCCCGCTCCTGGCCTAGTGGATAGCGCTAGTTCGTGTGTACACAGAGGGAAGAGAGTGCTGAACTCCTCGAAGGCGAAGTACCGCAGGAGGAGAGGGTAGAGAGGGGCTCTTCTGTGTGATCACGGGCTGGAGAAAAACGGCACCAGTCAGTGCTGTGAGCGCAGATTTGATTGAAGCGAAGACGAAAAAAAAAAACATTGTAGGCAGCTGATGTCAGGTTCCGTCTGTATTTTTAGCATGTTCAAGCCGCGTTGCACCCCACCGGTATAGTATATCCAACCAACCTGGTAGCACATGTATAGCTCTCCGGGAAAGCAAGTTTGACGGCGGAAACGAGCACTTTCGGGGTTTTAATTTAATTCACTGACGGTCGGTGAGGTAGATGGTTGTTTCCTGCGCGCTCTCGTGTGCTCGCCTCCTTGTTATCCACGGCTTTACATTCTCGCCCCGGTGGTCTAGTAGGTAGCCTCGCAGCCTGCCAAGGGCGAGGTCATGGGTTCGAGGCCCGGCAGAGTGAGTTTTTTTCTCACTAAATAAATCCTGGTCTAGGATGAAAGCGACGCGTTGCAAAGCTCGTTGTTAGTATACCATACATAATCGACTTCGTAAGTCGCGAGGGAAGGGATTGCTGTAGTACCCTTCTCGCGATAAAAACACCTCAGGCAGGAACCGCAGGAGGGAGTCCAACCCCCCCCTCCTATGTGACCCCGATTGGGTCGTCTAGCTAGTAGAAGTGGAGGATAGGGGCCAGAGGGGCAGACGACAGAGTCCAATGATGGGAGAAAAACAAAAACAAAACAATTGTCGCCCCGGTGGTCTAAATGGTATATCCTCGAAACCTTCTAGATAGAGGTCAGGTCACGGGTTCGAATCCCGGCGGAAGCGAGCGTTTCTTGCAAAGAAAGTGAGTTTTTTAGTTTTTTTTCTCTCTCTCCCGCTCCTGGCCTAGTGGATAGCGCTAGTTCGTGTGTACACAGAGGGAAGAGAGTGCTGAACTCCTCGAAGGCGAAGTACCGCAGGAGGAGAGGGTAGAGAGGGGCTCTTCTGTGTGATCACGGGCTGGAGAAAAACGGCACCAGTCAGTGCTGTGAGCGCAGATTTGATTGAAGCGAAGACGAAAAAAAAAAACATTGTAGGCAGCTGATGTCAGGTTCCGTCTGTATTTTTAGCATGTTCAAGCCGCGTTGCACCCCACCGGTATAGTATATCCAACCAACCTGGTAGCACATGTATAGCTCTCCGGGAAAGCAAGTTTGACGGCGGAAACGAGCACTTTCGGGGTTTTAATTTAATTCACTGACGGTCGGTGAGGTAGATGGTTGTTTCCTGCGCGCTCTCGTGTGCTCGCCTCCTTGTTGTCCACGGCTTTACATTCTCGCCCCGGTGGTCTAGTAGGTAGCCTCGCAGCCTGCCAAGGGCGAGGTCATGGGTTCGAGGCCCGGCAGAGTGAGTTTTTTTCTCACTAAATAAATCCTGGTCTAGGATGAAAGCGACGCGTTGCAAAGCTCGTTGTTAGTATACCATACATAATCGACTTCGTAAGTCGCGAGGGAAGGGATTGCTGTAGTACCCTTCTCGCGATAAAAACACCTCAGGCAGGAACCGCAGGAGGGAGTCCAACCCCCCCCTCCTATGTGACCCCGATTGGGTCGTCTAGCTAGTAGAAGTGGAGGATAGGGGCCAGAGGGGCAGACGACA